CAGGCACAGACACGGATGCAGACACAGACACAGACACAGACACAGACATAGACATAGACATAGACATAACCATACTAGTATGCAAATAGATATGCAAATGTATCCACATATCCGCGCCACCGTGCCTTCAGGCACGGAGTGGGCGTGGCCTCGGGTCCCTTGTTGTAGTCCTCAGTCCTCTGTGTCAAGGATTCTTAAGAGACCCCGACCCCAGAGTGCCAAACCTCTCGTCGTCTGGGGCGGCTTGTCGCATGACTTTTCGGGCTGAAGTCCCCCAAGAAGGCCAAGAGGGCCCCAAGAGGCCCCCACGAGGGTCCGAGAGGGCCCCGAGTCGCCGAACGATCGGTCCAAGACGTCCAAGGTGGCATCCAAATGGCCTAAGAGGCCTCCAAGACGCCCCTAGAGGCCTCCAAGAAGCCTCCCCAGAGGTGCCCCAGAGGAGAGATGCATTGATTTCCCTCAGGTGTTCGAAGGATTGGGCGTTCTCGCATTTTCGGTTTCCCGACGCAAAAGACGCTCAAGATCGCTCCAAGACGGCCCAAGAGGCCTCCAATGGGGCCCCCGAAACGGCCCAAGAGGGCACCAAGACAGCTTAAGAGGCACCCAAGACAGCACACGAGGCCCCCAAGGACGGCTCCAAGAAAGGGGGCCCAGACGGAAGACCCGAACTGAGATGTCGAGCCCCCGGCCCCATGAAGCCCCCAGGAGACCCCACGAGGCCCGTAAGAGCCCCACAGAGGCCCCCGGGAAGCCACACCAAAGAGCCCCCCCAAGAGGCTCCCAAGAGACAGGATGCCCCCAGGAGGTCCCTGCATTGCCCCCAAGGAGGCCCCCGAGAGCGCCCCGAGAAGACCCCAAGAAGCACCCGCCAAGGCTCGCCATTACACCAAAGAAAAAACCCAATCAGTGGATGGTTTTCGCTGAGGAGATCGACCTGGAACCCAAGAGCCTGGGAACCCAAGACCCACCGAAATCGGCCCGATAACTGGGAACCCGGGACCCCGTAAACGGGAACCCGGGAACCCACCGTGCGACCAAAATCGGCGGAACACTTTCGCCAAATCTCTCAACCTCCGCGAGGACCCCTTCAGTGCAAGCACTGATTGGGGAATTAGATACATATGCACATGTATGTACGTATACAATACGTAAACATCCGCCACTGTGCCTCTGGGCACGGGGTGGGCGTGCCCTCAGGTCCTCTGCCGAATCAGCGAAGCGTCAATCCGCAGTCCCGGCGAATCTCGGAAGGACCCAGAGCCCACATTCTCAGATCTCCTGGGGCTCGCCGCGGTTCCCCTGGGGTTCCCAGCATGCCCCCTGGACTCCCCCGCATCTTCTCGCGAAACTTCTGGGAACCAAGAAGGCCCCAAGACGGGCCAAGAGGGCCCCTAGAGGCCGTCAAAAAAGGTCCGGAAGGGCCCCGAGTCGCCGAGAGATCGTTCCAAGACGCCCAGGATGGCCCCAAGATGGCCCAAGAGGCCTCCAAGACGCCCCAAGAGGCCTACAAGAGGGCACCAAGAGGCAAAAAGCATGGAATCTCCTTGAGTGTTTGAAGGGTTTGGGCGTTTTCGCCTTTTCGGTTTTCCGACTTCCCAAG